GATTATTGTATCTCTTTTGTTCTGCTTTCTCATTTTCTAAGAGAAGTTATGCCATAAAGTTGTACTTTCATGGGTGAATCTATTACTGATGGCACTCTAGCTACATTCTTAAAACTTAAATGATTTTGTTGATTTGTGTCCATTTCTTGTACTTTTGTAGGACAAAAAAATCAAAGAAAGCTGGTTCGATACCTCCTCGTCCTCGAAGCTCTTCAAAGGAAGGGAAGGCTTCAACTAGTTCACCTTCCACTACGCAAATCCACCTCCTCCATCGGCAGTAAATCCACCACCTCCATCTGCAGCAAATCCGGCTACTACTACTGGTGTTGCTAGTGAGGTACCTGGTGTGCAAAAAAAAAAAATTGACAAGGGGAAGAGGAAGAAAACGTCTAAGTGGTGGATCCCTTATGATGAGGTGCTAGTGGATGACTATCCATTTGGAAAATGCAAACGGTGTGGGACACTGATCAAAGCTCATTCTACCAACAATGACACTACTGGTTTGAAAAACCATCACCTGATGTGCGAGAGGAGGTCGAAGGAATCCAGTGGGTAGTCGGTATTAAACTATCAAGCTAGTGGGACTGGTGAGGTAGGCTCTCTTACTCCGTGGAAGTTTGATCAGAACAAAGCTAGACATGCATTAGCTATCATGATAATCTTGGATGAGCTTCCGTTTCGATTTGTTGAACGGGAAGGATTTAGGAGATTTATGGCAGTAACTCAGCATTTGTTTGTGATACGTGGAAGGCAAACAATAAGATCTGATTGTTATGTCATTTTTCTGGAGAAGAAAGAGATGTTGATTGAGTTTCTTAACTCAAAGTGCAAAGGAAGGATTTCTATCACTACAGATACATGGACTAGTGATAATAACCAGAATTATATGTGTCTTCGGGTGTTTCGACTAGGTGGAATTCCACCTATTTGATGTTGGACTCTGCAGAGAGGTTTGAGAAGGTGTTTAAGGTCATGTATGATAGTCCTACTGATGCTTCCTTTTGAGACTATGTGGACTCCAAGAAGGGTCTTCCGTCTAGAGAAGATTGGAGAAGCATTAGGCATCTCATGAAGTACCTGAAGTTATTTTATAATCTTACTCTTCGTGTATCAGGTATGTGAATGAACTATCAAATTTTCATGTCTTAAAGTTAAAGTGAATGATTTCTCACTTACATTTATTCTTTGTAATTTTTTCTTTGTATCAAGAACATCATATGTCACTGCACATACTTTCTGCAGAGCCATTGTTGATATTCATGAAGTGATTACTACTTTGAAGAAGGATGTAGATGAACAGATTCAAAGAATGGCAGAAAAAATAGAGGCAAAGATGAGAAAGTATTGGTTTGAGAATGACGCTGATGATGAGGAGGATAACCTTAGAATAAATAGGATAGTTTACATGGCCTGTGTGCTTGATCCAAGGCGTAAAGTATACTATTTGACTATGATGTTGGAAGAGATGTATGGAAAGTCAAAAGGGGAAGCTTTGGTAGATCAAGTGAAGAAAGAGATGGCACATTGTTCGAGGTCTACAAGGTGAAGTATGCATCTTCACCTTCTGATTCCGAAGCTACTACTCAGACTACTCCTCCTATTGTGACCAGTGCTGAGTCTTCTGTTATGGGAGGTGCATTTGAAGCTCGATTCCAGTAGAAGAGAAAGGAGCAACTTGAGAGGGGGGTCGAGTATCTGGTGAGTTGGAGTCATATTTGAGAGATGTTGGTGATGCTGTTAACGAGGAGATTGATGATCGGAAGTTTGACATTCTGAAGTGGTGGTCTCTTAACAGTGTTAGATATCCCATTCTTGCAGAGATGGTTAGGGATATATTAGCAGTTCCAGTAACCTGTGTTGCCTCGGAGTCCGCTTTCAGTTGTGGAGGTCGAGTTCATAGTCCTTTCAGATCATCTTTGAGCCCAAACATTGTAGAGGCCTTGATTTATGCTGAAGATTGGATAAGGTATGAAAGTGGAAAGACTGTAGATGAACTGAATGATAAGAAAGAAGATCAGGAGACAATCGAGTTTGAGAATGGTAAGAATTCAATTCATTACTCTAATTTGTATATACTCTTTACTATTAAGCCATTCCATATTTAAATTATTAATATTTGTGTTTTTTTCTTTGCACTAGTGGCTAATACTTTCCAAGCTCGAGTGGAAACTACTAGTGAAGTTAGAGCACATAACTTACCTGATGGGGTTGTTGAGGAGGACGAGGAGGAGGAGGAAGATGACGAGGAGACTGAGAGTGATGATATTAGTAGTGACGATGACGATGACGATCCTGAAGTTTCTCTTCTTAGGACTTTTAAGAAGAAATGTTATGTTAATGTTGGTGGTGGGACAATAAGTTCTATCGGAGAAGGAGGAACATGAGATGCTAGTTTAGTAGTTTATGCGTTTATTTATGTTGTGTTATTTGGGGACTTCTAAGATCCATTTTTATTATTAAGTTTGAAGTTTGAACTTGTGTGAATTTAGATTTTAGACATTGTCATTAATCATTATGCGCTTTGGTTGATTGACAATTATGTTGATTATCGTCCCTTTCAATTTCAATATTTGATGATACTTAATGAATTTCAGAATTTGAACTTGTTATAAATCAATTATGGTTTGACAAATGACAATTGTAATTCTATAAATTATACAAATTCTAAATATTATAAATAAGAGTTAAGAATTACATTATTGATTACATAAAATACAAAAAAAACCCATGGAATTTTTAAAAAAATTTCTCAGCCTCTCATCTGCCCACAATCGGTCCGGTTATTTCTCGGTTAACCAAACATGAATTTCGTTTCCCCGCCTTGGCTCAGTGTTTTTGGTATAACCGGTTTGTAACCGTTAACCGGTTAATCGGTTATAAACCGGTATCGGTATTCGGGCATGGTTTCATCGTAAACGGTATATCGTAATCGGTTCGGTCGGTAATCGATTAACCAGTTACTGACCGATTACCAGCCCTATCCATAATCATGGAAGCCATCATTGAATTTCAAAAACTCCAAAATATTAGTCAATCTTGGCTCTGATACCACTTGTTATGTCAGAAGGTAAATCAACAATGCAATAAAGTAAAAAAAACCATGGTCCATGAAACCGTACCGGACACCGTACCGGAAAAGTCAGCGGTAGGGTATTTTATGACAAAACCGTGGTTTAGCCGTAGTTCAACCGTTCATACCGTTAAATACCGCCTACCGGTTTAGCCTCCGATACTGGTATTTTGTGGTTGAACCGCCGGTACGATACGGTTTCATGGACCATGAAAAAAACACATAGATTTATATGGTTCATGAACACGATGTGAGTCAGCTAATTCACAAGCAGGAGGGACCAGTTTCACTATAATTATAAAGATATAAATTACAGAGAGATATGTATATATCAACTTCTCTGGGTGGCCAAACCATAACCCAACCTGGAAAGTTAAAGTTACCAAACCAACAACTACTAATCTATGTTCAAGTCATAACAACAAAATCGATCAAACCAGAGTCAGCCAAACCATGGTAAATAACTCCCCATTGCATCCTGAACCACCATTTCTTAGCTCAAACACCATATAGTTCATTCACTTCCAAATGCCGAAGCACAAAGCCAGAATCATCATCACCCTAGGCGGTGAGTAGGTTGAATGCAGATCCCCTAAAAATCTTATTCAAATTATCTAGCCCTCAAGCCTGCATGCATGTCAGCAAGGCTTGTAGCCAATCAAAGGCTTTTTTAGTTTTTAGTATTTTCATTCTGTGCCATCTAGAACACTTTCTCCCTTGTTTTTCGATTCTCCTATTATTCTTAATGGATGCGTATTGTTTCGTATCAAATCTGAATTTATATATTTTTGCGCCAAAAACTCATATTTCTGCTCTCAGAAGCTATTTACGCGCTTTCAGACCTTCGCTATAGAATAAATCTGGGCGAGACCTTTGACATGCTAAGATTGGAGAATCTCTTCTTCTGGCCGCTACACCTTCCCTTGCTTTATGAACGGCAATGGGCAGGTCCGGGCCGGGTATCTCGATATCTATACCCGCCCCGTGTCAGGTCGGGTCCAAGTCGGGTAATTTATTATGGGGCGCGGGTCGGGGCAGATCGACCCAATGGGTATGTAATTTATGTGAAACTTAAAAATATTCATTACTTTCATTAAAAGACCAAGAAATAAACCAAAATATGATAAAATGTAGTTAAAGTATTGGAGAAATTGAGGTTTTCACTTATTTACAACTTTATTATAGCTAAAATATGAGGTAATATGAGGAAAATTCTAAGTAATTTGACTAAGATTACATGTAATTTAGACAATAACGGGTCAAGAATATGGCGGGTCAGGGCAGGTCGGGTCGACGAGAGGTACCCATGCCCGCCCCACCTCAAAACAGGCCAAACAGGTATGATAAAACGGATCAGGTCAAAATTGTCATCCCTACCTTGCTTCCACATGCATGCCACCTGCTTCTGATATGCACAAAATTTTCATTTTGATATACATTGAAAAACAAAAGTCCAAAAGCACGATAACGATCATATGTTAACGAGTCGCGCTTCTATTTGACAGTTACTAAACTATATCAATATGCTAAATATTATACCACAATACACGAATGATTCATGTATTATATCATAGTTCACGGGACACATTTCTTATTTTACTAATTTACTATACTATAACAATGTTTAAATTTGTGCCATCATATTATACAACAATTTAATCCATATAAAAACATTTACATTTTGGTGAGGCACAAACTAAATCATCTGTAAACTATCTCTTTTCAATTCAACTCATAGCTAGTGATGATTATAGGGGCTTTTCTGGTCTTGGTTAAAGGCCCATGAGCTATGAATGCACCAAGTTATTTATATTAAAATACTAAAAATTAATTTTTGAAATTACTGGTGGCAATTAGTGTCATTTTGATCCCGATTAAACCCCCAGGCTTTTCACTTTCCGTTTTTCTTTTCCCTCTCCCACCACGCCTTAAAAACTCACGAAAAGTCGACCGTTGATACTCCACCTTTTCCACTCCCTCAAACTCTCACTAGTCACTAGTCGCACTCTCACTCGCCCACTCACCGCCACTGTCCACTGGTCGCTCCCTCAGAGAATTGAGCTGAGAAAAAAAAACGAAAATGCCGACACTCAAGAAGGTCGGCCACCGATCATCGGAACCGGACCCATCAATCGACAGGAACATTGGCATTCAGACGCCAAAGATTTCGGTCTACGAACAGACGAGAGATGAGAGAATCAGAGCTAACTTGGAGAGGATGCAGAAGCTCGGCCTCAAGGAACTCTCTCTCAACCTCAATCCACTTTCCCGGACCAAACCCAAGCAGCAGCGCAAAAGCTACACTAAGTTCTCCGAGATGCCCGACCTTTCTTGCCCACGCCGCCGCTCTTCTAGGTCAATTAAATTTCACTCCTTTTCACCTTTTCCCTTGTGGGTTTTTATTCCTTGCTTCTGATTCTTGTGATCTGCTGAAGGAGATGAAGTCTTGTGGAGTAGGGTTTTACTTTCCATTGTGAAAACCTTGCTTTCCTGCTTCTTTTATTGTTTGTTTCATGGATTGGCATGAGAATCTGGACATGAGAGGGTTAGGGTTTTGTTTGACCCTCCTTGTTGTTAAAGGAAATACTTGTGCTAATATGGTGGGTTGATTGTTGATGAGTACTTTTGGGGAATGAAGTCCTGCAATTAACTTGGTATGAATTTAGGCTGCAAAACATAGATCCCCCTAGCTATGCAGAAGGGGGGAAGTCGAAGATGGATGCGTTAGAGGATGACGAACGTGTGAATCGAAGAGCTGGTAGCAAGCCGGAGGTTTACTCGGAAGAGCAAGTGAAGAGGCTCGGGGGCACCGAGAGGACCTGGACACTTTTCGTGGATGGATATGGGAAAGATGGGAGAAGAATTTATGATCCCATTAATGGCAAGACTTGCCACCAGTGCAGGTCAGTCTGAACTCTGAAGTCCGTACTCTGAATTTTTTCTGCTATTTTGCAAGTTTATTGTAACTGGCCTTTGTTTCGGGAAAGTTATGGTATATAAGATGTGAATATGGTACGTAGTGGTGGGTTGATACCAGTTTATGGTTTAGGGGAGGGCAAGTTATCTCAGTTGTTTCAACATAGAAACTTAATGCTACTAACTCATTTTGAGTAAGCTGGGAGGGAGGTTATTCCAGTCTTTGACGGTTTAATTCCTGTGTTACTTACTCTCTTTATATGGTTACTAGATTAGAAGCCCGTGCTTCGCCACGGATGTTTATAGAGAAAACCTCCACTAATGCTTGCCTTTCAATGTTTAGGAAGGGATACCATCTACCCAAAGGTTAATCACAATCTACTGTAAAAAAAAAAAAAAAAAAAATCACCATTTCATTCTAATTCATGACTTGCACTACCAGATCGGGGAGATTAAATTTATTTAAAGATGAAAAGTAGAATGAAAAGAAAATTAGTTTAAGATCATAAAAACTCTGAAGCTAAGATAAAACTTGATCCCTGCATCGGAAGATGAGAACTTGCAAACATCAATCCGAGCCAAAGTGTAGAGTACACATATAAGAGCCAAACAAAAATAGTAAGCCAGTGCAACACATCATGAAAAAACAAAAATAGTAATTAGAATTACAAAACTAACGAAGAAAATGCATGCATGAATAGATACATTCATTCTTAACAATGATTTATGCAGAAGACAATACAAAGTTTTGACTCTCACATGGATCGGTTTCAGCTTTCATGTTGCTGCTTTCCCGCCTAATCAGTTGGCTTCATATCATTCAGAACCCAATGATAAGAAGTAATTCTCAAAGCAGAGCACGAACTGTAGATGCTAAAAGAAGAGAATTGCTTGAAAATTTCTACATTATCAATTGAGAAATCTACAACTAAATACTATCCATCAGTGTCCAATTAAACATGAGCTTTCAGAGGTGTTCGCTTATCTCGTGAAGGGATATGTCTTTGAAACAACATTGCAGCTCAGGACTGTGAATGATGTTTTGGATGAGAATTTGTATATAAGACAGCAAAATGCCTTCGGAAACTGTAAGAATGATATGCATAAGAACAACAAATCAGCTTGTTACATAAAGTAAATAATGAAAAAGGATATTGATCAGTCATGTACAAAGCTGAAAAAGACAATTATATAAACTGAATGGAACTAACTAAGGTGATGTTCTCTGGAATAATGGGGTCATTTACAAAGGTGACGTCAATCTACTTCATAATTGGATCCTTGAACAATCCATGTCAAAGATAAAACTGGTACAGCAATCAATTAAAACAATGGACCCATATCTGATAGCAAGAAATTAAGTACGTCGACTAATTGGAATGGCCAGCTAGAGGGAACCAACAACAAACCACATTCGAGCTATCAGTGTGAAGTAGAGCTGACATACATGCGTTCCACGTTCAGATATAAATCTCCAGCATGCTTTTCATTGTTCAGTGCAAAAAGCAATGTTGAACGCAAGAATCAACAAAAACAAAAGGGACATACATATCAAGATTGGTGGCAACACATTAAATTTAAAACCAACGCTAATCTGAAACCCACTATGATTCAATTCAATTGTACCCCAAGATGCCATAGGTCTTCCAAAATCAAGAGAAGTCGAAGGCATGTAGGGAAAAGCAGCAAACTAAAGCAGATGAAGAAGAAAAAACAACAGGTAGCCATTACCTGGAGCCTGGAGGAGCAAAGAAAAATAAAATGAGCCTAAGGTCCAAAAGACCAAAAAAGAAACACTTAAGTTATCATCTGCTTTTCTTATTCTGCATAAAAATTATAAATCGATACCAACCGTTAAAAACCTCAGAAGTGTTTGTGAAAAAGTACTGTTGCAATGGTGCCAATCTCATCAAAAGCAATTGACTTTGTTAATCTCATGAGATCGATAACTTCCCTAGCTCTACCAACCTCTTCTCTGTTGTAATATTATATGGTTACTTATAGGAAACCTACTGTAATGTCCACCTTTGCATTATAACACCAACAACTACGATTGAATATGAACAAATAATAGGGAAAGTAAGAATACCAATCCAAATCACACATGCAGGAACAAAAAAACCATACCTCCTGTATAATTATGCAGATGCACAAATCTCAATATCAACATAACTCAAACTAAGAAAATGAGAACACTTGGATTCAATTCCCTAGCATGTATCACTATCAAACTAAAAAAGTTGGGGGTTTACCATTTCCCTAGAACTCTATCATCATAAGAAGATATATGAGAATTTGATCTATAAAGCCAATATGAATAAGAATTTTCATAGCTTAGTTTGATTGGAAGTAGAATAGGTTAAATCAATGTATAGGGATGTTTCACTGGGCTCTTGCCACCCTCCACAATTAGTCTCATATCAAATCCATGAATAAATTGGGTTCAATCTCAAATCACTGGGCTCTATTCACTGATCTACAATACTTGTGTTCATTCAGCCAATGGGTGAAAAGCAATAGTGTTGTCAAAAGCATTGTCAATTTAATTATTAGAAATGAAAGGAATCAGTAAATCATATCTATGAACAAATTGGGTTTGAACATTAGCTATTTGCGGTAAATGAACAGAAAGTAAATCCATGAACAAAAAGTCAGGGGAGCTAAATCCAAGTTGTTGACTCACCTAATTCCAGTAATGGATGTCGCCGCCAGGAGATTCTCCAGGTTCCAATGGACAAAAAGAGTCACAGTTAGGCCAATCTTCGGCGGAGTTCATTGGATGTGGAAAAACTTTGCGGCGACCGTCTTGTCGTCTTCTTCAAGAAATTGAGAAGGGCAAGAGGCTTGGCTCGTAGGAGACAGATTGAAGGAGCTGCAGCGAGGGTTTCAGCTCAAGCTTAATTAAATCGAAGGAGGAAAGGACAGTAAAATCCGGAGAGAAAAGAGAGGTCGAGATGATAGAGGAGGGGATGCGGCAATCACTTTCCTTTTCGAATGCTACCGGCCGCCAAATCTGGGAGGCTCCTCTTAAATCCTTGAATCGCAGCCAATGTCGCCGGCGCTGAGATCTTTATTTTGGTCTTTCAATTTTGCGCGTGGAGAAGAAGGAACGGGGAGAGAGAATGATAGAGAAAAAAAGCAGGAGAGAGGAGGTTTAGCGATATGGATCCAACGGTTCGAGAATAAAGATCCAATGGCTTTTGTAGGCCAGCCCAAAATGATTTCACTTGGGATTAAATAAAAACGACAACAGCGTATCTATGCAACAAACGTGAACAGTAACCTCCGATTTTTTCTTGATGAACAGTAACTCCGAATTTTTTGGAACTTGAGACTTAATAATTCTAATAATAATAATGGTATTTAGTTATTTACTTCATGCTATGACAACTTACAAGATGAAATTTGTCATATATGCAGGCAGAAAACTCTCGGTCATCGCACCCACTGTAGCAGTTGCCAAAGGGTGCAAGGGCAGTTTTGCGGAGATTGTTTGTACATGAGGTGTGGTTTTCTCACATTACCTTGCCATTGTTTCCAGTACATTACCTCTTGCAGTTTTGATCGTTTGGACAGACATTTAACTAACAAACCTAAGTGGAACACTTGCTGGTCGTGGGTTTAATAACCTTGGATCAACTTGTTTTGCAACTTGCTAGCATTAAGCTAATCATCGATAACTGAGAATTGAAATCCTATATTAATTTAGCATTTAATCCTTCCTATGTTCTTCAACTAGATATGGGGAGCATGTACTTGAAGCCTTAGAAGATCCAAACTGGATATGCCCAGTCTGCCGTGGGATATGCAACTGCAGCTTTTGTAGACAAGCAAAAGGGTTTGCTCCCACCGGAATTATGTACAGAAAGGTAAGTGAATGCTGAAATCTGGCCTTCCTATGCTATCGGAGTAGAGGGATAAAGTTTGTGCCTTTATGTTTGTATTTTGTCTTTCCAGATATCAAGCTTGGGGTACAAGTCAGTTGCACACTACCTCATGCAGACCCAACGTCCAGAAACCAATGTTGCCGATGAAAGCTCAGCTCCGTCAAGTGGAGAATCTGCTCAAAGATTACTTGAATTTTCAAATACCAAAGAAGCAGAACCAAAGGAACCTTGTGAAATCAAGCATCAAGAAGATACACCTGTGCAGCAACCTAATTCTGAAGAACTCAAACCTGGCAGTGAAACTCCCGTATTGAATAGCGAGATAAAGAGATTGGTGTGGTTATCAGATACTGAAGTAGGTTGTGACTACGCAAAATTTATTTCAGCAACTCCTCCTAAAAGTGAAGGGAGGAGAGAAAACAAACTGAGAAGTGAAGAAGAGAAGGAGAAAATGGCCATTAACTTGGAGGCGGGGCAAAGGAGGCGGAGCAGGAGACTCAGCGTAAGTGATGATCAGAATGAGGTTGAAATAACAATGGTGAAGGAGGGGAAAGCTTCTGGAAGGCTTCGTCCAAGGAGTGGATTAGAACCTTTTGGTGGCAACACTAGTAACCAAGCTGCTGCACCAAGTCCCGATAGCATCGGTGCAAGGCTGCGTCAAAGGCGCAGATTATGTGCTTAAACTATTGAGTTCAAGGAGAAGATGAGTCTCCTTCACGTGGAGATGGCAGTTGCTTGAGACATAGACACAAAGCAAGATGAAGACTTTTTGGGTGGGGGAGAGTCCTGTGTCTTTATTTTGTGAAGCGGATTGTAGATGTAATGTAGACATTGTTAGTTCTAGTTTATGAACACTCTAGGTTTCCTCTTATGTGGGATTGGTGCAAAGATGATGATAACATTCTAGGACAGGAGCATGGTTCGTTCAAGCTTTTGAGCCTGCAGAAACCGAAACCGGAGATGGTTCAACCGCCAGGCTGGTCCAAGCGGTCAAACGGTTTAGAGGCACTTGATGATTAGTTACACTATGTTTAGCAACAAGTGGGGTGCAAGTTCGAGTGGGTGCAAGTTGAGGGGTAAATTGTTGGGGGGTGCAACTTGGTGGAGGGTGTAAGTGGAAGGGTAAATTGTTGTTTGGATGAAAAAGTAGGGTGGTGCAAATAAAGTAAAAAGTAAGTAATTATATTATTATAAAATAAATTTATCAATTTATAAAATATTATCACAAAATAATACATGAAAATTCAATATATAATAATAATAAATAATAAATAAAAATAATTTTAATAAAAATAATTATTATATAATAATGCTCAAATATAATTATTTATAACAACAATACGCGATATCCTCCGATACTTCGGAAGCTTCCCTTCACCCAGCGCCTGCCTACACACACAAAGAGGAGGGCGCCTCGGCCCGTTAATCCTCCGACGCCCAAGTTAGTTCCTTAAAGAGAGAAGTGCTCTCAAGTAGTAACTTTGGTGCGAGAGAGTCCAACCTGCGTAAATGCTACCAACGGCCCCTATTTATACTCACCGAACTCGAGGTTGATTTCCTCCACGTCATTGTGCCCATTTAATGCTTTGTACTCTCTTTGTCAGACACCCCAACCAACTTGTCAGGCTTCTGACGCGTGACAGGCGCCCCCAGGTGAAGGACCACCAGCCAGCCTGGACTCCTTTGGCCTTTAGCGTTTTGTCTTCATGCGCCCTTCCTCTTATTTGGGCCTTGAGGTATTTCCCAGGATCCTTTTTTGGGCCTTGCCCCCCCAATTCCCTTGTCTGGGGGCCCAAACCCCTAATTGCTGGGTAATACCCCAACAATTGCCCCCCCAGTTAGGCACTCATGGCTTCATCTTTGAGCGCCTGACTGATTCTCTTGCTGAGGTCTGGTGTCTTCTTTGTTATGGGACGCCCACTTCTGGGCGCCCTATGTTGTATTTTTACTTTTTTCACGGTTCGGGGGGGGGGACTTTTGCCACTCCTTTTCGCTGGCGGGCGTCCCGTCTTTGATGATGCCCATTTAATGCTTTGTGCTGCGTGGGCGCCTCTTCATGGCATCATCCGTGAGGGCGTCCCTAGCCCTTATGTTCCCCTCACGGGGGGAATTTTGATGTGAGCCCCACGTTTCGCTTGGCGGGAAATTTCGAAATTTTGAATATGGAGATTGGAAAATTCGAAGTGGGGGAAGCTCAAAAGTCCGCCCGTGATACTAACACGTGGCACGCCAGCGTGACTCCTGACGCGGACTTTCGCTGCCTATAAATACCCCCTCCTCCCTTAGTTCCTGTCACTTTCTTCCATTTGACTTCTCTCTAAGACTTCGCTCTGACCTCTCTCTAGACTCTGCTCTGCCTTCTCTCTTGTCAGACTTTGCTTGCGTCACCTTCCTTCCTCGTGTCCGTCCAAAATGTCGACCTCACCACAAGACAAAACTTCCGGACAAGGCGCCCAGGGAGCAGGCGAATCTGGTGCGGGTGCTTCGGGCGCAGGCGCCTCTGGTGCCGGTGGCGGGGCAAGGCGTCAGACCCAAGACGGTAAGGAGTCCTCTGCCTTTCTTTAGTTTTGTTTAGTTAATTCTAGTTACTTAGGGTAGGGCGGCACTTACCCCGCGTCTCCGTTGCGCCTGGATCGTTTGTTGGTTTAGAGGGGGCGCCTGCTTCGACCTCTGCCGGACCATCAAGCTCTTCGGCGCCCGGCTTTCTGCCCGCGGACGGATCCTACAAGATCACCACGTGGGAGAAGTGCTTTCCCCCGGACCATCTACCAGTGGAGACGGCCCATTTTCCTTTCGAGGTGGCCGGGCCGAAGCATGAGTCGACGGTCACTCTGGCGCGCGTTCATGAACTCGTCACTAGTCTGCAACTGCCGCGCGACTAGTGGTATGCGCCCCCTTCTCCTATCTCGCGAGTGGGCGTCTGCGGGCCCAAGTGGATCGGGGTGTACCAGGAGTACTTCCGATTCGGGCTGCGCTTCCCCCTCGACCACATTATGGAGGGGATCCTGACGACGTGCGGTTGCTCGTTGGGGCGCCTCTCCCCCTCTGTCATTACCATCGTAATTCTATTCAAGTTGAGGTGTCGGGAGAACAACGTGGAGCCCACCTTTAACTTGTTTAGGTATTTTTTTAAGATGGCGCCCCTCGACAACTGTTTATCACTTCAGAAGCAGAAGAAGCGCCCGTACCACTTCGTGTCATGATGTCCCAAGCTCAACCATACATGGTTCAACGGCTTCTTCTTTGTGAAGGCGTATAGGGACTCGTTTTTTGAGAGTGGAGGCGCCTTCCTTAGGCAGTGGGAGTTGGGAAGTGTAGAGGAATTCAACTCGACAGTTGTACTGTCCCCAGCGGAGAAAGAAGGCGCCCGCTTGATTTGCGCGGAGCGTGTGGACTTGCGTCCTGCGGAAAACCGTCCTCCCATTATTGAGGCGTATTATAATGATGGTCTGTAGGCGCCTAGGTTGCTCTGTATTTTATATTGTTGTGTCTTCTTTGTACTTTAACTAACTGTGATCACCATTGTGCAGGGTCGGATTACTCCAGCATTGCCAAGCTGATGAAAAGTCGGCTTGCTGCGGTGGCGGCGGGTTCGCCACCGCCTGCTCGCCAAGAGCAAGCGCCACCAGCTCCCTCGAAGAAGAAGAAGAGGGCTGTGAAGGGAGGCGCCCTTCGCGCGAAGACTGCCATCGTGGCGTCTTCCGCCCCGGAGGAAGGTGAGAGGGCGCCTAACTCCGAGCCAGCGGAGCAAGAAGCTAACTCCGCGGAAGAAGAGGAAGAGGAGCCTCTGCTCCGTCGGGGGAAGAGGGCTGGTTCTCCCTTAGCCTCTGCCAGCAAGAGGGCTGACAGAGGCAAGGGAAAAGTGGGCGCCGCTGATGCTGCCGGGGAGGAGGCGGAGGAGGAGGATGAGGAGGGGGAGGACGTCCGCTATCACCTCAACGAAGAGGGGCGTTATGTTGGCCCCGATGGGCGTCCTCCCATCTTTCGGCCACGCCGCACTGATGTTGGGCGCATCAACCTGCCCTGTTCTCCCTTGGTGGCCGTCGACCGAGGTTGCGCCATGGGTTTGGCGATTGCGGCCGCCAAGTCATGGCAAGTTCCCTCCAAGGTGAACGGGGATCACCTCTTCGCCGAATTGGCCCAAGTGGGCGCCAAGGTATATGCTTTTCCACTTGTGTTTTCTTGTGATTGTGGGAACGCTCTATTACTTGTACAATTTGCTGACTCTTCTTATTTAAATTATGTAGATCCTCCTCTTTGCCGAGAGGAGCGCCCGGCGCCTCAATGAGACAAGACGACAGGCGCTCGAGGCCTCCTCTTATGCTTCCCAGATGAAGTTAGATCTGGAAAACACAACTGCACGCCGCGAGCAGTTTGCGAAGGAGTGTGAGGAGGCCCAGATGAATGCGGCCATGGAGGTGTCGCGCCTTCAGGGCGCCCTCGAGGATGAGAGGAAGAAGTTGGCCGATCTCCAAGCGGAGAAGGATGCGCTGGCGCAGGAGGGGGGCGCCCAAGCCAGCGAAATAGACATCCTCAAAGAGGAAAAGAGGAGTCTGCAGGACGCCTGCAAGGAGACCAAGAAATCCTTGAAGGAGGCCCGGAAAGAAATTTCCGATTTGCGGCGCTCTTTGGACAACTTCGAGGAGTCGGAGGCTGGGAAAGGGATGTGCGCCAACGCTATTCTGACCGGCCTCGAGATTTTGAAGGTGAAGTTGCAGAAGGACCACCCCGACCACATTTGGGATCTCACTGAGATGGCTGAGTACGTGATCGGAGGATTGGAGACGCCTCGCTGCACGAGTGGGGCGCCCGAGCCTTCTGCTCCTACATCACCTTCTCCGAGGGCGGCTGGTGCCGAGGACGCTAACTCCGGCGCAGAGTAGAGAGTGGGCGCATTGCTTTTGTTTTCTTTCTTTCTGTCGCACAATTTGTATTTGTCTTTCCCTCTTTTGTTTTCTAAATATAAAGACGCTTGCATCGTTCTTATCGTTTACTTGACTTAGATTGTTTTTATGGGGTGGATGAAATGAGGCCACTGTGTGGTTTCGGGCGCAAAGTTGGGCGCTTTAATGTTTCGTGTGAGGGCGCAATGTTAGGGCGCTTTTGCAAAGGATGGGCGCGAAATGTGGCGCTTTAACTCACTCGGTATTGCCGGGCGCGACGTTGGGGTGCTTTTGTGTCATACAAAACGATAAGAACAACACGAAATCACTATTGGGGCGCTATGGAATGGGCGCTTTGGACACAATACGATGCTATTTTTCGGGCGCTTTAGTCACAACACAAACATGTCTACCTACTTGTCTTGACATAAAACAAACACTTTCGAAACCTCATTCCCTTTCACGTCCTTGTCAAATCGAGGCGTCTTCTCCAGATATGGCGCCCGCAAAGTAAAGTTGCAGGTTTTGCGCATTCCACGTCCTTTGCACTGCTCGGCCATCAGTATGCTCTAACTTGAATGTACTGGGTCCTACCACCTCCCGGATTCGATATGGGTCTTGCCATTTTGGTGCCAACTTCCCTTCGCGGGCATCGGAGTGAAAGTCACGTTTGAGGACCAGGCCGCCTTCGGTGATCCCATGGGCACGCATCTTTTTGTTGTAGTACCGGGCCACTTGCCTCTTCATTTTTTCCAGGCGGATCGCCGCTACTTTCCTCACCTCGTCCACCATGTCTAAGTCACTGGACCGTGCTTCGTCATTGTCATTTGGATCATACTGGGCAACGCGGTAACTCGGGGTGTTGAGTTCCACCGGAATGACTGCATCGCTCCCGTAGGTGAGGGCGAAGGGTGTTTCTCCAGTGGCAGTTTTGTAGGTCGTACGATGCGCCCACAGCACGCTTGGCAGTTCCTCCACCCATCTCCCCTTGGCGCCTGTCAGTCGTGTGTGTAAGCCATGAAGAATGCTTTTGTTAGCTGCCTCCGCTTGGCCATTTGCTTGTGGGTAGGCCACCGAAGAGAAACGCAACACGACCCCATTGTCATCACAAAACTCTACGAACTTTTTGCAGTCAAACTACTTTCCATGATCCGTGAGGATGGATTCAGGCAAGCCAAACCGGG